AAGTTTACAAAGGAAGAGAACTGACAAATTTCTTACAGAGAACGACTTCGAAATTAAGCAAGGGTCTTGGACAACGGAGGAGACATATTTAATAGAAGCAGTAATGTCATTTTTAAGTTCAGCAAGTATTGTGCTGTCGGATGAAAACGTCACAAATATGTACAGTTTTGTTTGCACTTCTGCCTTCGCATGTACAGCAAATTGTAAGTCAGAGGGGCAGATAAAAGCAAAGGTATCCTGTGTTAAGAATAGGCACAATGCACCACAAAAATTTCTATATGAGATTGCTGCGCTGGATTCCCAAACTTGACCCAGTGCCTAACTTGCATCCATAAATACTGACAATTTTAATAAGATTTCCTTTGTACAACCCAAAATTTGTTGTCCGTTACTAAAAAGGAGGAGAAATGAGTGTGTCAACATGACCTTTTATTGCAGTTTTCTTACACAAAAAAAAGGTAAAAAAGGGCGGCCAAGGTGACAAAATGTAATAAGTATTTGTAACACTTCCCTATAAAGAACCTTTTATGAATGACTGACTGCGATTGAAGTGTAGTTTCTGAAATCAAGTTAGCTGATCTTTATATTCAATTTCATCTATCTTTTATTCATAACCATACAACCTGTGCATGCAGGGTAAGAATTGGTCTCAGGAAGTTAAATAGAACAGCACAGTTTTCACTATACGTTAGATTAGATCTGTTTTCATGGTGAAAGATTACGTATGCCAATCCCAGCTTGGTAACTAATCTTTAACACAAATTTCTGCAGATAATGAAAGGTGTAGATGTCATTAGTAAGACCCAGTTTCTCAGGGCATTGGGGCTACCCGAACATTTTTTGCCAGATTCTTTAAAGCGAATTGCCCAAGGAATTCAAGCTTCAGACAAATGCGAAGGTAGATTGATAATAATCACGCAATTAAGTAAATTAAAGGCAGATTGAAACTACAGAGATGACTAATCAGTCATTGAGTGAATATACATCACAGCACTTTAATTTATACAGCATTACACAGTCTTTATGCAGGACCTCTCGCCCCCCCCAAAAAAACCCACCATAGTTCACTTGTGGAAATAATTTTGTTGGCAA